AGGCATGTGGCCAGCTTCGGGCCCAGGTTCGCGTGCCGGCCAGGCCCAGGCGGGGTGGCCGAGCCCTGGCGGGGGGGGGTCACCTCGGCTCTCGGCCCTCGGCTCGGCGGGCGGGCTCGTGCGCGGCCCGCCCGCCGTGCGGTGGTGGGGGGTGGAGCGGCCTGCCGCCGCTGCGCAACACGGAGCACACGGGAAGGGAGCGGTGGTCAGAGGGAGGTGCCCGCGAGGCTTCAGAGCCTCGGGGATTGCGCACAGGAGGCTGTTTTTTTTTTTTTTTGTCCGGCGGTCACCCGGGTTATCGGGCTTGCCCCCACCCCCCCCACCCCCCGAGAGGATAACCTAACCTGGCCGGTTGTGCAGGTCTGTGGGGGGGGGGCGCAGGGAGCTCGCAGGGAGCGCTGTGTTCAACGGCGCGGTGGAATCGACCTCGATCTTATACCTCGGTCCGACTGAGTCGGACCGAGGTACAAGACCGAGGTCGATTCGGGCAGGGTGCCCAAGTGTTCTTCGTGCCTGGTGGATGTTCTGGTGCATCCTGGGGAGGGTGCCCTGGGATGTTTGGTTTGTTCTGGCCGACGGAGGGTCTCATGTTCTTGATTGATGTTCTTAGGGAGGGTATCGAGGGTTTGAGATTTATGTACGTGTTGACTCGCACGCGAGCAACTCAAGTAAGAGCGAACAGTCTCAAACCTGGCTGCATGGGCCCGCCTTCCCGACCCGCCCGTTAGGGTCTACCCGCCCGATCTGCCCGTCTGGTTCTGCCACGTGTTTTCTGTCCCTGCCCCCCTCCTGCTACTCTCTCGTGCTCCATCCTCCTCCCTCACCCTTGTCCCTTCCTTCCATCCGTCCTCTCTTCCCCTGCCATCGTGGCGGCACGAAATACGCGTTGCAGGTAAGAAAGGTCTCCCTAACAGGGTACGGTCGAAGACGAAGAGGGCGGGTATCGAAGGTTCGGGAGATACGTGATGAACGTCACGCGAGCAGATGAGAACGAACAGTCTTAAACTGAGTGATGCTGTAGTAGTAGTAGTAGTAGTAGTAGTAGTAGTAGTAGTAGTAGTAGTAGTAGTAGTAATAGTAGTAGTAGTAGTAGTAGTAGTAGTAGTAGTAGTGTAGTAGTAGTAGTAGTAGTAGTAGTAGTAGTAGTAGTAGTAGTAGTAGTAGTAGTAGTAGTAGTAGTAGTAGTAGTAGTAGTAGTAGTAGTAGTAGTAGTAGTAGTAGTAGTAATAGTAGTAGTATAGTAGTAGTAGTAGTAGTAGTAGTAGTAGTAGTAGTAGTAGTAGTAGTAGTAGTAGTAGTAGTAGTAGTAGTAGTAGTAGCGTAGTAGTAGTAGTAGTAGTAGTAGTAGTAGTAGTAGTAGTAGTAGTAGTACTAGTAGTAGTAGTAGTAGGAGTATAGTGGTAGTAGTTTTATAGTAGTAGTAGTTAGCAGTATAGTCAGTAGTAGTAGTAGGAAGTAGTAGTAGTAGTAGTTGTAGTAGTAGTAGTAGTTAGTAGTCGGAGTAGTCTGGGGTAGTAGTGGTAGTAGTAGTAGTAGTGTTATAGTGTAGTAGTGTAGTAGTAGTAGTAGTAGTCGTAGTACCAGTGTAGTTAGTAGTAGTAGTAGTAGTAGTAGTAGTAGTAGTAATAGTAGTTAGTAGTAGTCGTCGTAGTGTAGTAGTAGTAGTAGTAGTAGTAGTAGTAGTAGTAGTAGTAGTAGTAATAGTAGTAGTAGTAGTAGTAGTAGTAGTAGTAGTCGTAATAGTAGTAGTAGTAGTAGTAGTAGTAGTAGTAGTAGTAGTAGTGGTAGTGATGGTAGTAGTAGTAGTAGTAGTAGTAGTAGTAGTAGTAGTAGTAGTAGTAGTGGTTGTTGCTGTTGTTGCTGTTGTTGTTGTTGCTGTTGTTGTTGTGGTTGTTGTTGTTGGTGCTGCTGCTGTGGTTGTGGTTGTGGTTGTGGTTGTTGTTGTTGTTGTTGTTGTTGTGGTTGTGGTTGTTGTTGTTGTTGTTGTGGTGTTGTTCTCTCACTATTGAAGAGTAATGGTTGTTGATCCCCCTCCGGTCCTCAATTGAAGTGCCCCTCCCGGCGCTCGCACCTTATTTTCAATCAGGGACCTCAAACTGGGCCCCTGGCCCCCGGGTTACAACAACAACGGCTCCCGCTTGAGGCTTCCTCACAATTTAGCCAGGACCCCCGCTCCTGCCTGTGACTTCCTCGCATGTTATTCAGGAATCGCGCTCTCGCTGGGGACTTCCTTACAATTTATTCAGGGATCGCTCTCTCTTCGCTCTGGAGTCGCGCTCTCGCTGGAGACTTGCTTGCGATGTACCCAAGACTAGCGCCCTTGCGTTGGAATTTCCCGCAATTTACTCAAGCGCCGCGCGCTCTCGACACTCAGGCACCCAGGAGTTGCGCTCACGCTTAGGACTACCTCACATATTATTTAGGAATTGGGATCTCGCTGCCCTTCGTGGCCCCGTTGCAGCCCTTCGTGGCCCCCTCGCTGCCCTTCGTGGCCCCGTTG